CTTTGGGAGATAATTGTTCTCATTTTTAAGGCTACAGCCGATCTCAAGACACATCCCGTGAGTAATCCCGCCTGCACAGTGCTGGGCATCACCGCCACGGTCTGCAGGCGTGTGTCCCCGGGAAGGTGGGATGCTGGGGAACGTTGCCCGGCTGAAAGGTAGTCGTGATGCTTGTAGAGTCACCCGGGGAGGAGGACATCCATGCAGGACCTGAACTCCCCCCCTTACCAGCCAACAGGACTTAAATGCAAAGGAATGCATCGCTTTCAGCCCAGATCCCAAAAAGTGTTTGAAAAGGGTGGACGGGGATCACATTTCCCGACAGGGCTCACCAGCCTAAGGAATGCCGCAAAATGCAGTTGCAAAGTCAATGCCTGCCGGCATCTGCGGCCAGCGCTGGTACTTGGCCGTCGAAGATGGGTCCGGAGCGGAGGAGAAGGGTGTTGGGTCCTGCCTTTGTGTTTTCGGCTCTGGTATCTGTGTCGTTGGCTTTGCTGTTGCTAAGGGAACCCGCGAGTAGTTATAAAACAAAAAACAGCCCTGAGCCATACTGTGTCAATTAATGTAACCAGACATATTTCCTCAAATAAGAACCATATGTTAGAGATAACATCTTTGTTTGTTGCTTGCGGTTTCCTTGATGGCAAACTACTGTGCTATAATCCTTTAGTGTCCGACTCGTTTATAAAGTCATTGTGGATGAAAATACAAAATACTGGGAGTGCTCGCTTGGGGCCGGGCTCACCCAGGGCTCAGAGCTCCCGGTGAGGCGCCCGCGGGGATGCAGAGGGAGGCAGAAGGATGCTCCTTGCCCGGAGAGCATCTATTTTATTCTCTTGAAAGGGACACCTGTGATAGCTCTAGTCCTCTCCCCTCCAGTTTGTTCTCCTTTAGTTATCTATCAGCCTTATGTGTGTTGTCAGGCCAGGTGTCTTCTCAGCATGGGGGGTTAAATTTTGAAACATCACCAACTGGTGTAAGATGCTTATGGGGTTGGGTTTTTTTTTTTAGAGGTATTGTGGCATAGAAAAGCCTACAGGCTTTGAACAAAACTTCAGCTCCTCAGCCTCTATACCACTTTAAATTGGGACTTAAAACTGGCTGCAAAATGCATTTGGGTACCTAACTCCTGCTTAAATCAATACAAACCTGAGGATCCTAAGTGACACAGGTATTTTAAAAAGCTGCACCGCTTCACTGAATGGATGTATTCGAATCTGTGCAAGCCCTTGAGTTGATTTACCTGGTTTAAGATCATTTTGCTATTGATTTCTTCTCTTGATTCCTTATCAGCACAGGGCCCGTGCCCCTCGGCTGCCCAGGACCTGCACTACCTCAGCTGGAGCAGCTCGCTGGTTTGGCAAACAGGCGCAGCCTCGGCTCCGCTCACGTGGACTTTTGCTGCAGCAGAGAAACCCTTTAATGATGGGATTTGTAAGACCACAAAAATGCACAGGAGACAGGAGAACTTAATTATTCTTTACAGGATTGTTTTTCCCTTGGATATCACTGCTCTCAGAAGGGAACAGCGGTGTCAGTCTAATAATTCTGCCTTGGTCAATCCCTTATGATATTTACACAGCGGCTGTGCTATAGTTGGTGGGTAAATATAATTTCTTTGATCGATGCTCGCTTGCGGCACTTTGGAGCCGTTTCATGCTGCGTTTGAGGAAGGATGCGCAGGTCGGCATGCCTGCCACCCCGCCGTCCCCATACCCTCACCTCCCTCTGTGCAAGTGCACTTGGGTTATTTGGCTCCCTCCCAAGGCAGAGCACTTAGCCGGCTAAGTGAACAATTTTGCCATCTGGGAAAAAAGGCTCAAATTGCAGTTGTATAGAGTTTTTCCCTACCAAATTTAAAAAAAAGGGAGGCTTAAAGCCAGGCGTAGCTGAAGTGGCACGGTCTACAGAACAGGCAGAGCCCTGACAGGCTGCACACGGTTAAAATGGGTATGAATTTTGCCTTCCAACTAGCTGACAAGTTCAGACCATATGCCTTGCTCACCAATTATCCACCCTCTTGCGGATGTATTTTGCTTTCACAAGTACTCAGCAAAGAGCACACGTATGATTTTTTTTAACACCAAGGTGAAGGGACTCGCTCCTTGTGCTCTACTGTCACTCTCCATGCTCCATTACCATCAGCTCACGCCTCTGTCGTCCCCTCCGTTGTCCCCCCTCCCAGACCCTCAAGTCTCACCTGGGTGCCCGGTGGGCAAAATTTTTGGCTGGGGTGAGCAGGACTTGTGTGCACAAACCCTCGAGCTGCGGGAAGGCTGGAGCTCCTGGCTGTCCCACGGGCACCGGTGTGGGCAGCCACCCCACGGCACGGGCGAGCTGAGCGCAGCGATCGGACGTGTCTTGGCTTAAGCAGTCAATGTTTTCCTCTGATATTTGGTACTAATACGTTAATCAGATCTTACACACAGCCTCTCATTGTATCGCTCTCTCTGTACAGTAATTAATTCTGACTGCAGCGACTCCATCAGCCTCAGGGATCGCTGTGTATGTGCCTGCGCTTGTGATGTGATTTTGGAGGATGCCTGAATGAAGCAGCGACGTTTGCTGTGCGATTTCAAATTGAAACTTGATGACAAATTGATTATTGTGGAACAGAAGGAGCATGGCGAGCACAGCCACACACGGCCCCCCCTTGTGCAACCCCATCCACGGGTGAGGGGCTCTGAGCGCCCGTGCGGTGGCTGGAGAAGCAGGAGCCAGGCGCTCAGCCTTGGTCCTCTTCTCGCCAGCAGCAGAAAAACTAAAGGTGCAATTTGGTAAAGCCAATCTGAAATCCCTTCCCTTGGAGGGTGCCTGCTCCAATCACCACATGCCTGTAATTCCCATCAGACTTCACCTGCTGCATCCGAGGTGAACCGGGCTCCGCGACGTGCAGCAAATGAAATCCAGATACTTTCTGAATACATACAGGTTGCCATCGCATAACAGCAAACACATATTAGAGTCTGGTCTCATCTAGCACTCGGAGGGCAGCGCGGCTCGCAGCTGCATCCAGCCTGCTCCACCGTGAGCCGTGCTTGCCAGGAGGAAGGTCGCATCGCGCTGGCTGGCTATCGGCATTCGGGGAGGGGGAGCGCGCAACGCCCACCCCTCACTTCCCCCTTTACCGGCTGGCTGAGGCTGTCACCGTTTCCAGCGCAAAATTTCATTGAGTTCCCACCCTCCAAGCAGCGCAAGGTTGGAGCCTGGGTTTGCCGGGGTCTCTGCGGAGCCTCCCGGGCAGCACGGCAGGGGCGGCCGTGGGGAGCAGCATGCACCCGGCTGTGCTTTTCGCTACGTGGTTTGTTAAGTGAAGTGCTGGAGGCGATTAAAAGCGTTCCTGAGAAATCCCTGCTTTCTCTGGGCAGCGGTGAGCGGGGCAAAGTACAGGCAGCGGGCTCATCCTCCCAGCCCTAAATGTCTTGTTATCCTGCCAAGGTCCCTGTGCATCCCCAGGAAAGCAGCTTTCAAAACACCCCTGTGCCTCCATACCCCTTCCCACGCTGCTTGCTCTGCATGCAAGGAAATGATTTGGCTCGGGGTAAACTCTCATTTTCATCATCAGATGAAATTCTTCCCTTAAATTCTGGGGATGGCACAGTCCTGTTGGGGGTTTATCGGATGGCATTAGCATTCCGATGCCACCGTGACATGACCAGTGAAGTTCCTCTGGTCCCCTCGGGAAGCCTGTGGCCCCGCTGTGACCGCCTGCTTTGAGACACCATTTGGGAGTGGATATTTATTTTACTTGGGAAACAAATTAGTTATCTGTTAGTGTTTCTGAAACTCTCCTTCCGTACTCAGTAACACACACGCGCCCGCACAGCTCTGGGGAACAGCGTGCAAGTGCCAGGCACAGGGAAGCACTAGGTACCGTGGGATATGGGTTTTCAATTAGCTGAACAGAACAGTCATTAAGGGGACTTGCAGGGCAGCAAGATGTGTGTACCGCCCCTGTGGAGATAACAAACCTTTTAATGCTCAGGCAAACAATGCTGGGAACTGCAGCTGAGCAGGGCCATGAGGTACAGGGACGCCTTAGAGGGCTTTTCTGTCTCTTGTCTCCTGCAAACCTGGAACAGCTTTTAAACCAGCATGGCTTAAAGCAACCTAAACCCACCACCCCCTGCTTCAAACCACTTAAATATATATTTATCTGAGAGATGCCCACCAGCGCAATTAAGTCGACATTCATTAGCTTCATACGGAGGTTTTCTCATGCACAGCAGCCCGAACGAGCTTGGGCTGTGGTGTGTAAACCCCACTTTAACTTACTGACTCTCCATGGCTGTGGTTGCAATTGGCCTTTTAGGGGTAATTCCAGCCGGTCCAACCAAGCTGTTGCACAGCTGTGGGCAGATGCTTTTATACTGGTTTTAACCTGGTTGACAGAGGGCTATCTCACACATCTGGTGGTTGATGCCCTCCCTCAAGACTGCCCACCCATCAGCTGCTCCCAGCAGCTTGAAGTTGGGTGCTCATCTGAGCCTTTGACCCCAACCGATGGGGCTGTTCTGCCCAAATCGCCTGCAGGGCTCAGCCACCCCGGCCCCCCGGGGCAGAGCACCCGTCCCCTCCTCTTCTTCTGGTCCCTTTGGCAGCACCAGCCCAGCTCCAGCAAAGCTTTGTGCGTGCGTGTGTGCAAGTGTGTGCGTGCATGCATCCATGCATGCGTGAGGGTGTGCATGCAGGGGCATACTCACGTCCGCTTTGCAATACTTCCACCTACAGAATAAAATCCAGAACGGCAGCGGGAGCAGCCAGCAGCAGCCCTGGGAGCTGATGGGTGCACAGCATCCCTGGGGGCCCAGCTGGGTGGGGGGGCTGCTTTTGGGAACTGGGGCAAGCTCTGTGTGTGTGTGTGAGCGCCCCGTGTCCTCTCCAGCAAACCTGTGAAGATAGATTCTCTTTTCCTGGGACAAAAATGGTAAATTTTGCAATTATTTTTCCTTCCACTGGAATATAAAGACTTTTTTTTTTTTCAGGCCAGCTTTACTAATTTTAACTTTTTTTTTTTTTTTTTTCAAAATGCCCCGCTGGGCTGTGGCCAGGCAGGACATGGGACTGGAAAGCTGTTTCCTTTACAGAAGTGTTTTTTCCTAACTGGGGTGTAATTGCCAGTGCTCCGCTGCAACAACACCCGAGTGCTGTGGGGGTGCACATCGGCCCCGCAGCAGAGAGGGGAGCGCAGGGCACAGGGTGGCCGTAGCAGGTTCGTTTCCTGCCCCAAAGAGCTTGCAAGCAACAAAGCTTGTGCTTTGGAGAGGGCAGAGCAACAAGGAGCACAGACGGGAGAGCCACGGACTTGGCAGCTCGTGGATGGGGCTGATGTCAAATGATGGATTTCACATACATTTCCTGGCAGGGGCAGTGACCGGGGAGAGATTTCCCGGAAAAGGGACCCTTATCACTGTCATTAACAGCTGTGCACATGGCACGCTCTGCTGCACCCGCTGCCACTAACCTGTGGTTTTTGGGGGCGGCTAAAGCCCTGATGAGTACTTACTTGTTGGGCCAATTTCCATTGAGAATAGTCTTAGATTGTTCACTATTATTTTTCTTCCCAAACCATCCAGAGCTTTTGGTCCACGTACATCCTTCCAACATCTGTAACAAAGCTGAAAGGGAAGGACAGTCACAACAGTTTGCATTTACTCACACTTGAAATATTTGCATCATTTTGCTGAAAAACTAGTCAAAACATTTTAACAAAATACTTTTTCTGAGAAAAAGCAATTCTGAGGGTGAGATCAACCCAGCCAAACACCCATGCCCTAGGAGAACTGGTCAGGTGGAACATTTCCCACCAGTTCCTGCGGGTCTCTCTGGGGGTCTTAGGTCTTCAGAGTTCAGTGGCAGCACCTTATTTCCATCACAGTATTTCTAACAGCAGCCTCACCAGCAGGCGATGCAGGAATACTGCATATTTCCCAGGAAACAGTCCCCATTGCAGCACAATGCGGTGGGGCAGGCGCTGTGGGTGCCATGCTTGGTCCCAGACACTGGCGGATGTCACCACCATCCCTGAGCTCCTACCTGCCAAGGTCCTCTTAACACCCCCATTTATTTACCAACAGACCTCCCATGGTCTCTTTCACTTGGGGTTGCAGATGAGACTGGGCAGCTCGAGGCTTTCACAGCCACTTACTGTTAGAGCCATTTTTTTTCAGATGTGTCCAAGCCACTGGGCTATGGCTCAAGGTGATGCATAGCTCCTGTTCCTGCTTTGCCCCGGCTGCCATCTGCCACTTTGCCAGGATGGCATCTGCTCTGTCGGTGTTAAGCAAACATTTGCCTGTGGCCATCTGGGTTCGATGGTGCAGCCCGAGCAACCTTCCTGCCTGCTGTGATGGCAGCAGGAGCAGAAGCTGTGCTCCAGAGACAGCCATTGCTGAAAATACTGGAAAGACAGAGAGGAAGGACCAAAATATCTCTTGTTGTGCTTCATCTGCATGCTCCATCACTGGTTTCCTTGGCTTCCTGGTACTTCCATCAGTACTGGTGAGAGAACAAGCACAATAAATCAGGCATAAAGGGATGGGGCAGAGGGAAACGGGTGCTGTACTGCAGTACAGCCCAAGCCCGGAAAGCCATTGCCATCCCACCAGCACATGGGGTTTCAGTTAGAAATACCATTGCAGTGGGGCATTACAGAGTCTGTTTTTACCATAAAACCATTTCCACTCTGAAGGGTAAATGTTTAAACACGGTGTCACATACCGCTGTGCAGAAGAAAACCCGTACAGATGACAATGAGCTCAGTCAGAAACAAAAGGTCTGCATAGGGTGCTCAAAACTCCACCTCGCTTCTCAAATAAGTCTGTCTGTTACTTCCACTGCCCGGCGTGGCTGCCTGGGTCTATGGCGAAGGCAGAGCTGTGGGCTTTGGGCAGGAGCTGCAGCGAGGCACTGCTCCCTTGGGCACTTCTACATTCTGATGTCAATGGTGGGTCACCAAAGCCACCACATCCTTCAGAAATAAGTTTCAGCTGACGAAGGGTTCCCACTAGTGACTCAAGCACACGGAAGACACAGAATTTAAAAATAACAAGCGTTAAATACCTCTCAACCACTGAGATTTGTCAGTGTAGCCTCCTGAAGTGACTCCTGAAGGTCGATATGGATGCTTAAAGGTCAAACAGCACCCTCAAATTATTAATTTTTGTGATTTAGAGTTTAATGAACATGTAAGGACACTTCAAAGTCTTGGGAGAGACATATGAGATCTAGTTGTAAAAACAATGCAGCAGCTCCCTTAAAATAAGCTTTAGCTGATGCTTCACAGCATTGTTGATGGTTATTGCGCTGGACCTAGCGCTGGCACGCGACACAGCAGAGCGAGGCCCCGATGCCAACCCGCTCCCGGCACATTGCCCTGTTCCTCAGCTGGTCACATCACCCCCCAGCGCAACCTGTGTCACATATGCGTGACTGCTGCGAGCAAGCTGGCATTTTCACTCTGTCACTGCTTTTGTCCCCCCCTGCAACCCTAAGTTTGGAAGAGCAGCTTTCCTCCTGTCTAATCAAGCCAAAGAGACCAAGGAGCTCACGGCATGCCCATGGGATATGGCAAAGGAGGGAGAGCTCTTGCTCAGGTGTGGCCCAGCCAGAGGCAGGAGAGTCAGACCCGGGGGGCTCCCAGCTGTGCCCTGCAGTCAGGACAGCTCAGCAGCCCCAGCTGCATGCAGCTGGGTCAGCAGCTGTAACCACACTCATGTATTTAAGTATTAAATTGTTACTTACCCAGAAGCTTTCTTTCTGACAAGTCAAGGGACATTGACAGGATTACAGCCATTCGGGACCCTTATGCTGCTTTCAGGCTGCTCCACCTGCTCTCCGTGAACATGCAGCACCGCCTGAGGGGACCCAGCCAGTGAAACAAACAACTCGCTCCCCGCTGCGTGCTTCTTGCTGCTCAGAGCCCCAGCACATCTTTTCTGCTTTCCAGCGCTGACATGACATCCTTGGGCTTCAAGAAGGAACTGCTGCTTTTGTTTCAGTAACCAAAACCATTAATTTTATGGCCTGTCTTTGGCAAAGACCTTGCATGGTTAAGGCCACCATCCATAAAGCTGGCTGAAGACATTTTTTTTTCCCATGGAAGAACAAACGCTGAACTTCTTGCTAGCTGACTGCAAGCTCACTGCATAAGCAATCTGCAGCAGATGGTGTCTAGACGTTCAGCATCACCAGATGTTCCAGCTTTACAAGGAAGTTAACTTCTGCTCTTCAGCTCTGGAGCAAGGGGCACTGGAAGCACAGAAGGGTAATTAGTGCTTACACATAAACACAAATATAAGGGCTGAGCCCTCTTCGTGTTTCACTCCGATACACGAACTCTGACATTCAACAGAGCTTGAGCCAATTGTGCTACTTCAAAATTGAGTTTATATCACTGCCCTAGACTATCTAAATACTTTTATCTAGGGACACAAGCTACCTTAATTTCCATAGCAACAGATAATTCTTCTTGAAAGCAACAAACACATGAAATACAGTTACCGCAGTAATTACTGCAGATTAAAAAAAAAAAACCCACAGAGGTAACCAAGAAACAGAGGAAGACATTTATCTTTTCCCACTTTTCAAAATAATATATTCCTTTTTTGTATTTCTAGAGAACAGATGCAAATCAGGCCTGGCAGGATGCTGGGTACCTGCTTACGAGAACATACCAGTTCCAGTGAAGCTTTTGCTCAACCACAGGTTTTTTTCTTTCCCTTTGAGGTCTGCAGAATGTGTGTCCAGACTGGCACTTGCTCCTACAGCAGCACAGGATACCAGACCCATTTCAGTCTTGTTTGGCCCCAGGCTTTGCCCTCAGCCATGCTGCAGGTGAACATACCCAGCCAGGTCACCCTCAGCCAGAGCAGTTAAATTGTGAGCTGCATTTTGAGAGAGCAAAGGTCTTTTTATACTGCATTAGCAGTCTTCATACCCCAAGGGACTGCTAGGGACTCCAGCTTAGCAGCTAAAGCTTGCCAAGGACAGCAACCACCTTCAGGCTTCAGATTTTGTTACTACCTGAGCAGCAACTGAGAGAATCAAACCCAGTTCCTCCTCACCCATTTCATCTCTCCTTTACCCACAACTCCCCCAAGCCAGGTTACAGCTTTGGGTTGTACAGTGGCACTGGGTACGATTCCAGCAGCCGGACGCTAAGAAATCACCCCAGCACAGGGGTGAGCTGCCAGCAGCAAACTGCTCTGCATTTCATGCTGCAGCACACCTGGCCTCTTTAAAGCCAGAGTTTCCCCAAGCTCAGTCAGCATGACCCTTCAACCAAGTGCAGCAGCACAGCAGGCAGCTTTGCCCCAGGGAGCTCAGCTGTGTAATCATCAGACTTGCCACAGGATCCTTCCTTCTGTTGCCATCATCCTGCCACCAGTAATGAAAGAAGGGAAATAAAAATCCTGAAATTTCATCCCTCTAGGCACGTCCTTATCTGTCCTGCTTTGTACTTCTGGCACAACCAGGCTAAAGGAGGACAGCAGATGACAGCAACTCACTGGCAGGTGCAACAGATGGGCAGGGAAGAAGTCTCCACCTGCTGAGGGGCAGCTGACAGGGAAGCTGGGACACCAGTAGCCCAGTCCTGGCTTGCGAAGAGCAGCTCTTCCACAGCTTCCCCCACCAGCTGCCCATCCCACTCCACTTCAGAGAAGTTCCTGCTCATTTATCCAACTGCTGCACGCATGTCAGCAGTGGACCTGGCTTCCCAGCTGCCTCCCCTAGGAAGGACACCAACTTCTAAAGCTTTCCGAGTCTTCATCTGCAATAGAAGCACATCGATATCCCAAATGTCCCATGCATGTGCAATGGTCGAAGTGACACAATTAAGAAAATTAAGTTTAGTTTCCATATATTTGACATCCAACAGGCAGTAAAAAAAAAAGCTTTATATTTTATTTCTTGTAAAAATCTTTTAACACATGCAGACTAAAACCAGTGTAAGAAAGTATCCACCATCGTTTAAACAAATAACTATACTTAAATATAAGTGTCTGCAATTGACTTGTATAAAAATAAGGTACATTTTGCTTTTTTACAGAAATCCATTCTCCAGTTCTCATATCAATAAACAATACACAACTCTAATACATACAATTTAACCTGATCGTTGTTTTCCACCAATTTGATACTGCTAAGGTATTATGTGCAAAAGTTGGTAACAGTTTCTTTCCCAAAAGAAAAGTCTTCTATGTGTTTTAGAAAATTAGATACTGGGTTTAAATTAATCAAATCCTAATCGGTTCCTTTGTTCTCAAAGAGTCCCATTTACTGTATTATATACAGGCTTAACTAGAATCTGGTGCAGGTGCAAACCTCAGCGTCTGTGCCTGCTGTGTCCTGACCGGCCGCTACCGTGGTGTTTGCCCTTGTGAGATCTCTCGAAGGAGCGGGATCTCTCGCGCCTGTCTCTGTGGTGTCCCCGCTCATGCCTGTGCTTCTTGGCAGCATCAGAGTGATCCCTGGATTTGCTCTGGGAACGTGAACGAGACTTTTTCCTTTTATGACCGTGCCTATTGGCACTCTTCAGCTCTTCCCTACTATGCTTGGTCTTCAGGTGTGGCGAGCCATGGTTGTGGTGTCGGCGAGGGCTGCCACTGTGGCTGCGGGACCTGCTTCTCGATCTCGAGCTGTATGTCCCAGACAGGCTCCGCCTATTATTGTAGCTTACAGAAAAGTGTTTAAAATTAAAACATGTCCTCAACACAGAAGAGAATAAAAAAAATAAATCATTGCTTAGGAACTTCTAAGTCACTGGAAGAAACCAGACTGCTTCTCCCACAGAGGTAACTGATGAATGATAGTGACTGTCCCAGAACATGCCTTTGAGTGGAGTTGCTTTGAAAACAAAAAGCCCAAACCAAACCCAGAATGCAGTGCCTTTCATAACTGTTCCACTTTGTCAGGAACCTTCCCCTCAATGCCGCATTGCAAATTGGTTACTGCCTTTTTCCCTTCAACTATTTGACAGTCAGCAATATTCAGGGCAACACCTCACTGAGATCCAAGTTGGCAGCTTCCAACTTAGATGTCAGCCTGAAGATTCTTGAAAAAAACAGTCAGCAGGTATCACTGCGTCACCCTGCACAGTCCCCCCTTTTCCCCAGTTGGAGAAGAGAGGCAGAGCACTAAAGAGCCAGACAGTGCATTGTGCAGCACTGACAGAAGATACATTCTCCCATGCATTTGTAAGAAAGCTGCAAAACATGAAACTGGCTCCTATGACATTTCTCACTCCTTCAAAGTGGACTGAGTTCTGAGAGACTACTCTCATTTATAATGGACACCTTGTGAAGATGATCAAACAGGGTAAGACTACCTTAGGCTCATTCCATCATAGACTCATCATGTACATCTACAGTTAGGATACTTTTAAGCTTCCATTTTATGGCAAAGCTTTTAGAACTTGAACTATTAACGGCACAGTTACCAACAGAACTGCTTCACGCCAAGAACCGAGAGCCTAAAGCCAGACCCAAGTCTCACACTTTTGCCGGCCAGCAATTAGAAGCTTGCGTTAAGCATCTACAAGCTACTTGGAGTGGCCCTACTTCTTAGAAGTGAAATGCCCTGCTGAAATATCCCAGAGAACTAAATATGACAAAAAAAAGACAACCCCTGCAAAAAACCCTGCCCCCCTCTCTGCAACCGCCCACCAACCAAACAAAAATCCACTACTTACTGCCGCCTAGGAGTGTGAGATCGAGACCTTGACTTTGTTCTTGACCTAGATCGACTAGCACTTCTGCTGCTTCTACTTCTCTTGCTTTCTTTTCTCATGCTTGGGGGGGGGGGGGGGGGGAAAAAAAAAGGTTACACTTCTGAGGTACTCATTACGTCCATGAAGTAGCTCAAAAGGTAGTTCACTGTACTTCAGTTGAAGAAACAGTTTTTACAGAAGTCTTCTCTTCATCAGGAAGAGATTTTCACCTACCCATTATAAGGACTCTTTGAAGCTTGCTGCCTCTCTTCTGGCTCTTTTTTAATGGTTTTGGTATTCAGAGATACTGGTGTCTTCTCTTCAGTTTTTACTTCTCTTGGGGAAGCTGAGAATTAGATTTAAATTCAAAATTAGGTATTTTATTCATAGACTTTGTAATAAACATACTGTATCCCTTATACATCTTTACCAGTATTTGCACAAAATGTAAATACGAACTCAATAGCTACTATTTCATTCCAACTTTCCTTTTATAGTACACTCCCAGAAGAGAACACTGCAGTGAGATACTCATGGGGAGACGCATAGTTTAAAGCCAACTGCCGGCAGGGGAGAGAACACTGTGACCTTCAAGCCAGGTAGGCAGGCTTAGTTGAGCTTTTGTCCACCAGGGCCGAAGTGGTACAAAATAAAAGCTGCCCTTAAGGTCCGCAAATACATAACTTAATTCTTTCTACTAACTGTCAAGGTAACAATTTAAGACTGAACAGCAAAATTACAGATTTCATTTTTATATTAGTGGTACAAATATAATACATAACAAAAAACTTAGTTTAGAATCAACCTGTCTCTACAGTCAGCTGATATAGCCCAGAGATGGACTCACTTTTTCACAGAAGGGCTACTATGCAAAAACGACGCATTTTTATCTGGCCTGCTGACAGTAAGGCAGAGGTGCTGCATTATGACCACACCTTCCTCACTCAATAGGGTTCAGAGGTTTAATGTGAAAATACAGAAAGGCAGAATTCTGTCAGAAGCTTTCCCTCAGTTTGTCAGCTAGTAAGAAGTCTTCCAAAACCCCAGCAGAGGTCCTGCTTTCACTCAAACTCTTCTCACCTAGGCTCCCACTTCACAGAAATAAGAAAAAGCTTTCATTGTTTAGTGAGAAATTTACACTTGCCAGCTCAAAGACCGGTGGAAACTCAGATGAATTGTTCTTAAGGAGGAATAACTGCTACAAATATTGCTTTCTCAGAATTTGTTCTTCAGTTTCTGAGGCGGCCATGTAACAAACAAGGGTCTGTGCCTTACCCACCACCACCAGACCAACGCTCATGGTAGCCTTTAAATTTCATTGGTAGGTTACAGATCAATACCAGCATTAAGAGGTAAAAGCACCAAGACAAAACTGTCTGTTCTTTGTATCATTAGAGTTCAGACAGATTTACTGGCCGGTTCAAGATACTTGTCTCTCTTCACAACACAGTAAGATACAGCAAACTCCTGGGTCTAGACATTTTTCATAACATAATTATCTTAAGGGTGCATATTACTAATATATCACTCTCCCATCTGTGGAAGTATGGAGTAAAGCACCCTGTTTCCCTCTAATCTGCTATTTCAAGGTATTGAAACTGTTTGTAAAATTTGTGTTTTGAAAAAAGAAAGATTTGTCTTGCTTCTCAGTTCTGTAAGAAAGCCTAAATTGTCTAACAGCTTAAGAAGCAAACCTACTTTTTTTTTTTTTAAAACAGCTTGGGACACAGATTTAGAAGACTTATCAAATAGCATTATGCAAGTTTCTGTTCAGAAAACCAACTTACATGGTTTGGATGCAGGAGAAAAGCCACCCAGTGTTGAGAGTGCTGGAGTTCCATCCGGATTTAAACCTTTTGCCTTCAGTTTAGCTTCCTGTAGTGCCATTTTCCTCTTTTCTACTTCTTTATCCAGGAATTCATAATTGGGCTGTTAAAGTAACAATGTGGTAAGAAGCTGAACTACTGCAATCCATATTTTCATCTCATTTTTGAAAAATACTTAATTATCTTTTAATCATCTGTCCAGTATCATTTGTTCTCACATGCCCCTCAGAGGAGAAGCCATACAGCACAGCCTTTCCAATTAGTAGATTTATATGCAGGCATTCCCAAACACACTTACACAACCATAGGGCAGCTCAAGCTGCACTGAAAAGGAAGAACAAACATCTCAAAGTTACCTTCTTTCTGGTATAGAGCTTAAGAGTTGTTAAGCATATCTCCTGAATCTCCTCTTCTGTGGTGCCAAAGAGCAAGAACCAGTGAGGGCGGGTAGGTAGTGGAATCTGCAAAGAAAAACAAAACAAAACACTGAGAGCTTAGTAATAGAGATTACAGACCAGGCTTTTGTTTTAAATATTTCCATTAATTTTCTTGAAACCAAATTAGTAGCAATAAAAGCCAATCCTAACTAAAGACAGATGAATACTCACCTGCAGAGCTCTAGCAGCAAGATAAATGCAAGCACATGCTATAGTCTCTGGCTGAAAGCGAACAAACACATTTGTTCGAAGGCTGTCATTCATGTAATTCCTAAAAAAAAAAAATTTAGGAAAGGTTGGATCTCAGGTTTACATCATTTTATTTAGAGGATAACAATACTGGAGACTCAATTGACTTTATTATTTTTTCTGTTATTATATTAAACACTTGGTTTCTTTCAAATTATTGCATTTGATGTTTACATCTGTTAGTTCTGTAACAAAGTTTGCACCATTGCCATCGTTTTGAAACCCCAATGCAAGTAATAGTATGTAATGGCTACTTCCTAGGTAGGTACGTTAAGTTATACCATGAAGTGTCCATTGAGTTAACAATCTAACAAGTACTTTTCATCTGTGCAGCTGTTTGCTTTAAACACCAGTGTTCTTGTATTTAAAAATCAGTATGCTTAAAACTCAAATTCAAGCATGAAAGCATGGTATAGTTGTAACCTACCATTTTCCAGAGGCTAGATGCAACCTCTAAAGTTCATAGAGCATTGCATTTAAATCCTATGTGTGCCTCGAGTCACATTAACTTCATCCAGAAAGAGAAGCGTCCAATTTGCTCACTGAGTGTTGGAGAAAGACCTGCAAGTTAGTAATGGGTCTCCCACTTCACTAAGCTACTGTTCTTCCACCACAGTGGCACTGCCAAGCAATACATGCCAAGAGATACATTTAAACAGCAGAGACCTCCATCGATTTCTAAGTTACTGAGCTACAGGAAAGAAACGAACAGCAGTCAGTAAGTATTGACTCTACAGAAAACCATGCCCAATATGGCTTCTAAGTGAACATGCTGCATGCACTGTAATTGTCTTTTTGTTTTTAAACTCAAGTTTAGCCAAATGCTAAGTCAACTAAATAAATGTTGGCAGAACGTCTACCCCATGTGTCCTTTAAATACACTACAGTATACAGTAGTTAGGCAACAAATACATTTAGAAACATTTTTAACAGTTACTTCTAAAAGCAAATATACAAATCCTTTCGACACCCAGACAGAACTAGAAGATGCTGCCCGATGGATATGGACCACTTCAGTGAATCTCGGATGAGAGCTTGCACTGGGTTGGCTGGAGAGAAGGGCAGCCAAACAGGCCATCCCCAGGTCATGGGCTGAGGTGCAGAGGGCAGAGCTCTATGACTTACCATCATGGACTACCCTTTAATTAAAGAGTAGAAAAAAGAACAAAGTTAAATTGAGTTCTCCATTACTATATTGGAATCAAGCCATGAAAATAGTAAGCAGAAACAAGCACTAAAATATTTTGGAAGTATATATTTGTGTAGTAACTTACATCTCATTGCTTTGCATATGGATCGTCAGGCTTGTTATTTCTGCTACTATTTTCCTGGCTAGGAAAAGAATGGAAAATAACAACTTACCAGGCTGTCTGTACCAGGGTTTGATTACGTTCACATTCTAAGACTTGTAAATACATAACAATGATCTGAGGAATAAGGGAAAAAAAAAAACAGAGTCAGTTTTAACATATAAAGCAACAGTAAGGAAGTAACTACATATAATCAAACAGTAGTCCAAAACAATTGTGTCTCCTCTTTTTTTAAGCATACACTGTAAGCTCACATCATCCAATCATGTTGAGACAGTTCTTTTATTACTTGTGTATGATTTTCAAAAAGTCACCTTTAACATTTCCCAAGGAAGCAACTTCTACCAAACTCAGTATGACTATTTGCCCAAGCACTCTGGCAAAAGCATTCATGATAACTACTAAGAAACAGAGACAAAATCAGTCATTTTACACCCGTGTTTCTTGTCCCACAGCTCACAATGATGCCAGCAAGGTGGAATAATATTTACAATAATATTATCTTTGATAACTCACCTTATGTGGATGCTTGACATGAACACAAAATCCCAACTCCTTCAGTACCCTCCTTTCTGCTTTGATTACTTGATTTTTGGTGTTTATGTAGTTCTGATCAAGTATCAGGGGGCTTGGAGTCCTATAGTTTGCAAGAAATAAAATCAAAACTGTTTTGCATATCCAAAAATAGCAGCATCTCTGTTTTCCCTTCCAACCAACTAATGGCAACAGAAACCGGTTTTCAACTCCTGCAAGCAAGTTTAAGCATTAATCTTGTGCTGTCCAAGTTTAGATAAACTAGTTTAGTTTCTGCTTTTGACTAGCTACAGATTAGATGACTAAGATAAAAAAAAGAGTCTTTTGCTACTGTGTATGCAAACTATGCTGGTCCAGCTGCTGGAACAGAAGTCCACTTTACAGTGAAGATCTCAAAGAACCTTTACACTTCATGACAGAGGTGGGGGAGGAGTGCAGTACAACTACCTTTGCTAGGTAGGACTTCAAAGCAGAAGTAAGCTAGAAAGTCTTTTTTTACTGATATTAAAGTAGCAAGCTTGTGCTCTACAAATTTCAGTTTCCTATGCACTCTAAGACAAGATGATTCAGATCTTCAGAGAACAAGACAGCCCTGCTACTCTGATATACAAAAAGCCTAGTAAAGCAAAGAATTTAACCTCTGAAATGTCGACAGATCTGCCTGCAATTCTGAACACTGCACCCACTAATCAGTGGGTATCATGTCACTTCTGCTGTTTGCATTTGCAAAACAAGAGCTCATTTCACAAAGAAAGATTCCTAAGTCTACCACTATCAAGTCCTAATTACTTCCAAATCCAACACCTGAACTCTCCAAAGCATTTTTTTAAACTTTAAAGTAACTTGCTGTATGCTTCATGCACAAATGTCATACTCCATTTCGTATTCTTTTCTTTGTCCATGCTTAGACTTGACCTTTCAACATTCCACATGGTGTTTTTTAATCCACTTCCTCCTCGAGACAGACCAGCTTTTTCCCTGTTTGCAATACACCTTACATATTCCACATGCTTTCCAACACAGAAGAATGTTATTGCAACTAGTTACACTCTAATAAGTACACCCCAAGCACTGGTGACAAATTTATCTTACGTTAACTTCAAAAGAAAAAAAAACTAATGCAAAGTGGATTCAAAATACAGGTTCTGTTTTATCAGACAAAATATTTCACTACTAACTTGTCTTTTTTTGGTTCCATGCAAGTTCCACAAGTGGATCACACTTCTCTTTCCCCAATAGCTCACAGTAGAAAAACACTCCAAAAACCTAGTTTCCCACCCCAGGAAGAAAGGGTCAATTTAATTACAAGGCTAGCTGAAGGGCTTCCCAACTTCAATAATCCAGAATTTATGCTAAGACTTCTGCAGTTACCTGGAAGGATGCTTATTACCATTAGTCAAAGGTTACAACAAGCCATCCACTTCACTAATAAAAGCATCATGTTGTATCACCATGCACTTGAAGCGTGAGCTCTCCCTGGTCCCCCCAAGGGGCTGAGAAGCAGCTCCCAGGAGGTCTGAAATGAACTATTGCAGCTTCTTGGTGCCAGGCAGGACCTACAATTTAAGCCTTACTACTTCTGTCTCCTAAAAAAAAAAATGCAGTGTTTTCCATGTTACACAAGAGTAACTTCACTAGTCAAGTGTTACTCTCACTTATCAGGGCAAGTCTACAAAGACTGTGATTTTAAATATAACCTAGTCAAATATTGGGGGTTTTGTTTGTTTGGGTTTTTTTTGGTTGGTTTGTTTTTTTTTTCTTCCCATAAATTAACTGGAAAAGAAAAACTTTTAAAGCTCCTTTAAGGTAACTACTTCAGTAGAGAGGCTATGATTTTATCTGAACGCTCCAAAAGTACAAAGGCTATCTGAACACAATGCTCTGGAGTAGGAGACTGGAAGAACCAAGCTGAAGTTCTTCAAATCAGTGAAACTGATTCACTTCCAATTGATTTCAACTAACTATACTGGGTTTTATAACAACATTTCCTCCAATATTGCTTTACTTAATTTTATCTAGAGATCACTGGCATTAACAGGATCTGCAAGGCATCATTCAGAGCAAGTTTAGGTGTCCAGGCTCAGCTTATCTTGTTAGCAGAACACTTCATCAGAGGTGACAAATCTTGGATGAAACAGGGCACCTATGACTTCCAGTCTAAAAAAAAAAAATATTCAACAACGGGACAACATGACTCCATGGAATCATCCAACAACCTGCTGGAGGATTACTATCTTCCACATGTCTCTGCATTCTCTGAAAGCTATGTAAGAAAGTCAGTATTATGAAAACACAACAAGGTAGCTCAAAGTGCAACAGTAAAGACTGTGGGCCTTACTGCAGGGCCATGGGACCAGCACAACAGTTCATACTTTGGTTGTACATGTTCAACAGCAAAGTGATAGGAAACTCAAAATTAAGACACTCGAAAGTGTGCTTTACTGTCGTCCCCCGTTACTCTGGTCACTTACGACACCCAAGTTCTAGAGATCTAAAAGCCATGAAAAATATCAGTTTATCCAGACAGTACTTCCAGAAATAGAAAGACAAATGCAGGCTTTTACCTACTTATGCAAAGAAAAAATCTGCAGAAGACTTTACTGCACTTTATTACTGGCAAAAGTCAGGTTCCCCAGTCTATTAAGATTTACCAATTTAGTACTTTTGCCATAAGCTCCCAAGTGTTGGTATGCATAATTATTTAGAAGTTGGAAACTTCAGAGATTTCCCTTTGCAAAACTTCTTAGCTTTCCTACTGAGAAAAGAAAAAAAGAGGAACTTTGCTACTGTATTTGCTGCACTTAGTTCTCAGTCCAAGCAGCAATCATTTTAGGTCCAAGTAACAAACCAGAGAAAAATAATTTACAAGCTTACATATAAAATATAAGCTTCAAGCCCTATATAGCCAAGTAGCATTACAAATTCTTACTTTGAATCTGTTCTTACAGATCAGCACTAGAGCTCCAGGCAAGACTTTAGACTTAAGAACAGGGAGCACACAGTGCCCATTCTGGTAAGTCAACTCAACATTTAGTTGCAAAACTTCATCAGGATTTAGTGATTGTGTAACAACCCAAAAGATTAACGCACACTGTAATGTGTTTGTAACAATAAATAAATTACAAATTCCTGTTTTTAAATCCCTGTGACAAATGAAACCTAAGTTCTCAACACAGCTACGGCTTCATTTGATGTAATACTAAAATTTGCCATCTTTGGAGTGTCTAATACTTTGGAGGAAGAGTGCCCTGCCATGTAGTTTTGTTCATAATACAAAAAGTACTTCTGACAAGTACAGCATAACATCAGCATCTCATTTCAAAGACCAGATCTCTCTCATGCCAGTCAGTAAGAGAGAAGAAACTGAGTTCTATATTTGTCTCCAACATTGTAAATACAAGCACCGTAGATTTATGGAACAGTTTGAAGAACACTAAGTAGTGTGCATTATTAATACAGGCCACTTCCAACATGACTGCATGAACCTGTTTGCTGCAACTTAAGTAAAGAACGGCTGACTGAGCATCTCAAACCAACATTTGTGAGATTACACAAGTCACATTTGGTTCCAGTCTCGTAAGGACTTTCTGCAGCTTTCAGGCACATTTAAGAGAAATAAAATCAACTTCAAACTACATTCTACATGCTAAACAATAGTTGCACTTTGCTCAGAACACAGAAATTTCAGCACACAATTTTTTAAAAAGCAGTATTTTCATAATACGAGCTTTTCTCCATGCACACAAACATTTTTACATGCAGTACTACATGACATATGCTCGTGAAAGATCCAAAAGAAAATATGCTTGTCCAAAACACTTTTTAGCTTTTTCTTACTTCTCAGTATTAGAAATACCACCTAGCAGTAAAAAGACAATTCCAATGCAATTCCCAGTTCTGCAAACACGTACATATAAGGGACTGCTTACATAATAATTTATATAAATAGTGTTACAAATTCAAGACTTCCATATCCTTGTGAAGGCATGTTTTACTATGAATTCAAACTGCAATTATACAGAGCCAGAAAGTGGAACCGAGAACCCAAAACTGTTTAAGAAAGAAAGCAAGCCTACTCAAACTACTCAAACTTCATGTGTAGGTTAAGAGCTTCAGTTAACAGAAGTACTAGACTAGAGACGAAAAGAAAGTACAGCAGCCTAACTGACCATTTCAGTTCTGGGTTGTGTGTGAGAAACTAACTACAGCCTAAGTGTTAGCTTCAGATAAAAAAAGATTAAGCTAGTATTCTAAAAACCTGGACAGCAAAGAAAAAAGCTTATAACAAGATACAGGAGTTCTTCCAAATGGTTCACCAGCGGCCAACCTGTTAGTCCCCCGATTCCAGTGACCTATTCTCAGAGCACTGGCTTCTCCTTGGGGATTTTCGATACTTCACTCACTGTTGCCATGACGACAGCTTCATCTTTATGTACCACTCCACATCACCCAGGCTTTGGTAAATGTAGCTGGTCGCTGTATAGTCGGTTGCAAGGGAAAAAAGAGTTGAAGTTAATAACGTGTACAGATTATGTAATTGTAATCTTGTAAAAAGTACAGAAAAACGTTTACATCCTGCTTGTTAAAAAAAAAGGCAAGTCTGAATGTCAGACTTCAGCATTTTTAAGATTAATTTCATGCAGATTCACTCAGAATCTCAGAGCAACAATACCCATTTCTCCAGAAAATAATGGGTAGAAGTGCACGATTTCTCTCGACATGATGCATTTTAGACACCATGTAACATGCACAAGTGACATTCTGATTTGGAACAGGCTAGCTGGAAAGATTTAAGTTCACAGGTTAAGTTCAGTTTCTCTGATCCTTCGCACAGCACAAAGAAACAACTAATTTGTATTCTCATTGCAAAGAAAAGCATCGCATATGATTAATTAACCTTCACTGCCTGGATCAAGGCCAAAACATTACGAATCACTGAACCGGCTTCAATAATTCCAATAACCAGATTCCCTTGTCATAACTGTGGTAAGAAACGATACCACCGAATTCACATTCGGCACAACTTCATAAAACTCTGAGGACCATCAGGGATACGACTTAAAAAAAAAAAAAACCAACGAAGCTAAGTTCCGATGTGTAACACTGAACCATTCTTATCTAAAACTAACTACCATGACATGAGCACCAGGCAGTAAAAGCCAAAGTTTTAGATTCAAGAGAAGCATAACCAGGATAAAGACACCAAGAAACAGCTGGTTTCCCTAAGAGATTTCTACTCTACTTCTCAGAAAAGGTTACACAACACTAAAGTTTAAATTCCTGCTGTAACCTGGTTATACGAGCAGAGAAATGAAAATGTGAATTTAAGAATCTAGCTGAAGACAAAATCCCTTTCTAACTATGGACTACCTTACACTTTAAGCAATCGGCTACTAAAGGTAAAGCTACTTCATCACAGCTGGCGTCTCCAATCTCACAGACTATAATACTGCTGCATGACAGATTTAAAGAAATTTTGCATTTAATAGCAACTTAGAAAACTCCTTCCCTTCAACCATTCCTTGTTCCCTCCAATACGTCAAGTTAATTTGTTTTACACATGAAAACATACATCACTTTACACACAAAAAAGCAGCGTTAGGCACTCGCAACTGAGAACAGCTCTACAACTCAGCAGACAATTATCTGGATCTGTACACAGATCAGGTAAGCTTACACTCCAACTTCATTGACACAAGCACACGGTACCATGAAAAAACACAAGTCTCACTTTTTGCAATTAAAGATGCCTTCAGCTTCCAAGACTCAATTACACATTCCTTGTTGAAGCGGTGTCATTAAAGCTGCAAACACTGTAGGCCAAACCATGCTTTTTTTCAGATACTTTCTAAAATTGCTTTTTCTAAAAGGTAATACTGTCATCACTGGGAAAAGTTCAGCTTTCATCTTTTGTTAACTGATACTTTATTAGCACCATAACCACATCTGGATGGCTACATACTAGCAAGAGAAAAGCATTAAGACTACCGAATGTGGTTAAAAGTCTGGAAAAAATACAGCAACATGCTAATTGGCTACTCATACCTAAGACTACCTTTCAAGAACTACAAGACATCAAAAATCAATTAGCAATAGTCCTAAAACTACAACCACGGACCTACAACTAGAACCAATGCTCATGACTTGTAGCTATATAAGTAACGAAAACGGGTCTACCAAGCAAACAGAAGTAACAGTAGAAGTTAACATTGAACTGTACTGCCTACACAGCAGCCAAAGAGCACTCCCTTCTCAATTTTAGGTCGTTGAACTTAGCCTGGAAAAGTACTGTGAATTGAAAACTGCAGTGTACATTAGAGACAACATGTGCTTATGTTCATAACGAAGCTTATCTTACCTTTTTGCTCTTAACTGACGCAAATGATGAAACACGTTGATCACGTCCCTTATACGACGAGGTGCCTCTTCGATTTTGGATGCGAGATTGATGCAGGCCATAGCAACAATCTGAAAGGAAGCCCCGTTTCCGTAAGAAAATGGTTTTTAATCCCACCAAGACTACAATTACGTAAGTAAAAAGAAAAAAAACCCCAACAACCACGGCCTAAAGGCTCGAAGAGAGCAGCCCGTTTGGCTTGTGTCTGGCCAAATTCACCGGTCGCCCAGAACAGCGCCTAGCGCTCTCCTCCCTCTCTCCCCCCGCCACTTCCCCGCCAGGCCGTGCCGCGCTCACCTCGAAGCTGTGCTTGACGAACGACTTCGAATAGAAGAACCGATGGAACAGCACCTGCCCCGTCGCCATCGCCACCTATGAACGCAAAGGGAGGAGGAGGAAGAAGGAGCGGGAGTCAGTCACCGGGCCCAGCCGCCGCCATTTTGTGTCAGGCACCAGCTGGCGCCGCCGCCGCCCCCCCCCCCCGCGCGGCCGCCTCACACGCCCTTCCCGCCGCGCCACAATGGCGGCGGCCGCCCTCCCTCCCTCCTTCCTCCCCTCCGCCCCGGGAAGGCGCCGGGGCCCGCACCCACCTGCGGCAGTCGGAGGAGGATGCCGGCCGCCTGGATGAGCTCGCAGCCCAGGATGCGCAGGTCGGTCTCGCACTGCAGGTCCAGGCCGTCCTGCATGGAGGGAGTAGGCGAGAGGCGCTCCTCGGGGATGAGCGAGTGGTCGATGGTGAGCGATACCTCCGAGTACAGCCGGTCACCGATAAGGATACCCGGGGCGGCGGGAGCCGGCGGGGCGGCGACAGTAGCGGAGGAGGAGGAGGAGGAGACGGAGGGGGCGGCGGCGGCAGCAACGGCGGCGGTGGCGGGGGGGGCCGGGTGTGTGGCGGAGGAAGCCATGATGGCGGAGCTCGTCCTCACCCGCAGCCGGCCACGCACAGACTAGCGCGGCCCGGCGCCGTGACGCAGCACACAGCGGCGCCTGCGCGCGCGGCACGCCGGGAAAAAAAAGTCCGCCCGGCCCCGCCCCGCCCGGGTCGCCCACGATCGCCGCTGCCCCGGCGGAACCCGGGAACCGGGAACCGGCAACGGGAACCGGCCGGGGCTGCCCCGCTCCGTTACAACGCGAACGACGCGGTGGCCGAACCCGCTCCCGTCCACATCGCTGGGGGCCTTCGGCGGGAGTTGCCCCCGGGAGGGGAAGCTCGCCCGGTCGTCGGTGAAACGTCCCGGGGGCGAAGATCCCCTTTGACGAGCGAGGGAGGAAAGGAGGACACGCCTGGGGGCCCTGTTGCCTCCCGTGGGGAGGGGGGCGGCTGGCACGATACACTTTTTTTTTTTTTTACAGCGTTTTCCACTGCAAAAGGTTTTAAACAGTGAAAAATAACTCGCTGCACTCTACGCTTCCAGAGCAGCAGAGGAAAAAGAAATCGCGCTGGTAAACTGTGTTTTAAAAACCGTATAGATTAACTGGTTCGGAGCTGTGGGTAGGGCTTTTGGTGCTTGCCGTGTGTCACGCAGGAAAAAAAAAAATCCATAAAATTGGGTAAGAAAATAAACAGGATGGCCATGGTGCAACACTGACACATGGGAGGCTGTGTATTTCCTGACAGGAAGCACACTCTAGCAAAAAGTTCATTTCTTAAGAAAGAAAAAAAAAAAGAAGCTTAAAGCAGCTACTGCGGTTTAAGCCATTGCACGTAAACGCGCAGCGTTAAGTGTTGGGGAAACAGTCCCGCACAGAACAGCCACCCACCGCCCCCCACGTTGCCCCACATTTGTCCCGCGTTCCTCAGGCCCACAGAACCAGTTCTGGAGGCTTTTCCCTCATTTTGCTGCTCACTGTGTAACCAGCCCGTTGTAACACACAGGATTAGGGGCTGCTTGGGCCATGACCTACGCTCACCGTTCCTGAGCTTTATTTGCTAGAAATCCGTTATTTTTACAAGCTACCACTTCTCACGTTGCTTTTCACGTTAAGGCTGCATGGTTGCTCAGCTGATTTCTGACGACATATGTTTATTTTCAGTAAGAGCGTGTTTGGGAGCTGGAAACAGTCCTTTTTTAGTAAGCTAGGACATTGTTACCGTAGTAAGTGTTTCCACTGCAACCTCAGGCACTGCCTGAAACAGGTTATTCTGACAAAACACGGGTATTTTGGTTACAATCCTGCAAACTGCACAAATACGGCACGTTTGCAAGAAAAGCGCTCACCGCCTTGCTCGGGCTCGGCCGTCCTCGCTCTTGGGCACCGGCTGTCCCTGTTCCTGAGGGAACGAGCGGCTGGAATCGGTCCCTCTGCGGGACCCGACACTCGGGAGCGACAGCCCGAAGGTGCCCTAACCGCCCCGCCCTCGCTGAGGAGAACGGCGAGGCGGCCCCGGTGTTCGGTCAAGGCGGTGGCTACCCTGCGACGGCCGTTTGCTCTCCGACCCCCTGAGGCGGCCGCCATCACCTCAGCGCAGACCCGGGGAAGAGGAGACAAGGTCCACGCACGCCCGAACGTGGCGGAGACCCCACAGCGACCGGCTGTCGCAATCCACGGCGGGATGCGGCGAGCGGGAAATTCCCGCCGCTTGACATCACTTCTCGGAACCGCCGCGCCACGGCCCGCTACCGATATCCCTCCGCGGCCTTGCGCCCTGGCCGGGACTAACTCCCCGTCACTGCACGCGAACTGAACGGCAAATCCCGCCCCGGCCGACAGCGTCGGAATCTGATTGGCTCGCTCGGCCTGAGTGGCAGAGCGCTCTCTCGGTCCCCGTCCGCCATGTTGTGTGGGCGAGCTGGGTGCCGTCTCCCCACCTCGGCCGCGTCCTCGGGTGTCCCCTCAGCCGCGGGTTTGGCTCCGTGGGCGGGCGAGGCCGGCCGGTATCGCCCCGGCGGGCAAGGAGGGAACCGGGTGGAGCGGATCCTGTGGAGATCCGGAGCCGCTGCCTGCAGCCCAGCGCTGTCGCCGCCTCCACAGGGCCCCTGTCCGGAGAAGGAGATAAGGCTGGGCCGGCCGGCACAGGCCTTGTCTGGAGCAGGGACTAACTCTCCTCAGGGGTCCCTCTGAGCTCTCCTGCTCTGCCTGGGCACCGTCCACTGGTTTCAACTCATGCTCTCACAGCCTAGAAGGGCCCAGTCCTCGCAGCAATGCGTTCTAACCCGTTTCTCGTCAGCCAGCGTGCCTGATAGTTGATGGGCCTGATCCGTAATCCAGCAGCAATTTACCAAACAGCAAATCAAGAAAAGAGACCGTGACTGTGCTGCCGCGGGGGCTGTCTTAAAGAGGAAAGCCCAGGGCCTACAGGATCTGCTAGAGGGGATGTGCTTGCCATCAGCTAGTCGCGATAATGTCATGCATGCACATAGGACACCTGTCAGTCAGATGGGCTCGTCAGTGCAGTTTTGACCTTGTGGGACCGGCCAAGAGTTCTGCAGGGAGGGTAAGGTTGCAGTGCTGCAGAGGGCATGGGAAGGATTTATTATTTTTTTCTGGTGGTCGTCGAGGTTGCGCAAACCTGTTCAGAGCAGAGGGCTCGCAGGACGTGAGGTTGCCTAACCCCCATGGAACCAGGCCAGGTTGCAGTATAATAATTAATTGTGCAAAGGGTCAGGGTAGTTAACTGCCGCTAAGGTTTGTTGTGCTAAGAGAGCCTAAGATAAAAGCATTTGTAGAGAGATACAAATCCAAGATTTTTAATTGGGGGCAAGGAAAATCAGTGCAGAAGCCTAGTCTGCCAGGCTTTCACAGGAATGGCTTTGCTGAAGGGGGCTGCGGTGCGTGTGGCCTGGTCTGCTCTTCCTCAGCGCAGCCAGCCAGCACAGGGTGTGGAGTAGCTGGGTGCAGCACCTTATTTTGTGTCACGGTTACAGTGATTAGTCAAACTTTCCTAGTTTTACAAGCAAGTCTTTTAGAAAGATGACCAAGTCCACAGTATACAATATTTGCTTTTTAGCCTTCCTTTCCATTTATAGTTTGAGGTTTGAGAGCCAGTCTGTAACTATCACTGAAATAGTGCTTTTTGGAGAAATAGAGCATTTAATTGGGAGGCCCTGTACTTGCAGGTTCATGACTCAGCAGGGATCCTAGTTAGTTGGAGTGTGCTCACCCTATTTTCCTGGTCCTTTCGCAAGCTCTCTCCCTTTAGCCATGTACTGTACAGTCACTGAGATTTTAAAAACAATTTTACATAGATTAAAAAAATCCCACCACCAAGCCGGAACATCAGTGGCCTTTTAGAAACCTGCAATGGTCTTATGTGTTGCATTAACACAGCCAAGAAAAGTCCGGTGAACCCATGACGCTAGTGCTAAGCATCTCTGCAGTGACAAAAGCAATTTACAGTCTATTGAATGTACTGAAGATTAAAGAAATAGTAATAGAAAGGGGAACTGGGAAAAAATTGCCATGGTTGGCTCAGTTCTCTAACCCTCAAATTATTCTGAAGGTGAAGATACTGGGTTCCATGGTATTTGCAAAAGGCAAACAGCTCTTTCCATTTTCATAGCAGTTAGCAACGTGTGCCAAACAGGCTGAAAAGAAGGAAAAACAGGAGTCATGCAAGCAGCAGGTGTCACTCATTGCAGTGGAATTTGCCCACCTTTTTTTTTTTTTCCAGGCACACGCCCATCATATATTGGTTTTAATTTGCTCTGGTTTTCCAGGTTACACTTTAATGTTTTAAAAACCTGAAGAGAAGTGTATTTTGCTTTCCTTAGGTGGCTCAACCTGCCCGTACCGTTCTTACCAATTCTTGATGTTTTTCATGTATATATTTTTGAATTCAAAGTTGAGCAATGCGTTGTCCCCTCAGCTGTTATGCAATTGGATGTCTTAGCTATGCCAGAAAGTTTTGCTATAGCATGTTTAAAAATAAAGAGCGCAAACAGCCTACAGTAGCTGGTGAGCTGGTACTTGATGTCTCCAAACTGGTAAACATGGAGTTACATTAATGTTTTATTTTGCAACACAGTTGATGGGAGGTGGTGCCCAGGAGGGCCCCCTTGCTGTAGAAGTGTACCCAGATGCGCACAGTACAACGTAAGCCTGTTAACGAAGCAGCTTAATAAGTTCATGCTTTGTTGCCAGGACACAGTACACTGCTGGAAAACAATGGCAATCAATAATTGCTGGTTGAGTCATGAATGTGAGTGCATTAACGAGCTGAATTCTTTTGTGCCCTTTGGCCTGGAACTGTACAGTTCATGGAAGCTCGCTCTTTAAATCGATTGTATGCAGATAGCTACTGGCATTAAAATAGATACTAAAATACGTGTGTTTGGTGTCATATGTTCACACATAACAGCCTACAATCACCTACAGCATTTGCAACATTGGTGTCCGCGTAGATTTGGCATCAAGGCCACATTGCCTCCAGCCTTTCGTAATCGTTCTTCCTCACCTTCCGCAGCACCTGCAGCTGCTAAGGCTCGCACAGCGGTCCGCGCACCGTCGGAGCACCAGCCCCACTGGAGCTGCCCCGCTGGGAGGAAGCGATTCCCCAGTTCACCCGAGCAAGCAAATGCACTTGGGACTGGAATATAGCAGCGTATCACGTCTTCCCAATCTGCGGTGTCTGTCCTGCATCTATACCTTTGTGCATTTCTGCATCATCTGGCAATGCTGTTTCATTCTCCCAGGCTTCCGATTGCAGTTGCAGACTCCAAAGCTGAGTGATAATCTGCATTGGCAGAGGATGGCTGAGCTAAAAAGAAAGTAGCACCAGCTTCCGAGTGAGCCTCGTGGGAAGGGAGTTTTAGGATATCCTAAAACCTCTCTCGTAGTAGGTAATTAGACCACCTCAGTGCCTAATATCCCCTGAGGATTTTACAGGTTTGTCAGCAAATGTTTCACAAAAGATAATACAAGAACAGGTTCTTAGCAAAGAACTGCAAACTGCAATGTGCAATTACCTTAACAGAGTAGAAAGGATTTGTTTGGAAAAATAAGAATCTGTGATGACAGA